CGGCGGTAGAGTTTATGAATTCGCGTCCGAGCGTTGCACGAATATTCAGCACGCAAAGAGTAAAGAGAATGAACACCAAGGTTTTTACGTGGAAAATCCGAAAGAGGGAAAAAACCACGGGGCCTCGCCCAGTTGTAAAGTTCCACTAGTATTTGTTTGAAGTACAAAGGTTGATCCGTCTTACAAATCAAAACGATCATTTTACAATCATCTTCAAGCAAGTCTACAAAGTTCTGCAAATTCCCGGCGTTTCCCGAAAATCTGGCAGAGTTCCGGCGTCTTCAGGCGGCGGGAAGAGCTCCGGCGGTGGTCGAGGAGGAGCTTCTTCCTTCTCCTCCTTCTCTTCTTCTTCTCTCTCTTCACTTGAGTCCCTATTGTGAAGAATGAGGTCTCTATTTATAGTTTTTCTGGAGTAGCATGGCTCGTAAATAGGTGTGAGATCATGGGCGAATAGGGAGTGGTTTGAATGGACGGCCGATATTGAACCCTTCGATCGTTCACCGTTCATTGGACATTTGGAGGCCTTAATGATGTCAGAATTCGGCGAACTTGGGCTCGTTGGATTCGTCTCGTCGAGATGCTCGATTCGGGTATAAGCTCGTTAAAATCGGAGACCGTTTGGTAACTCAAATTGCGGTTTGAACCTTCCAACAGCGCTTCGGGTCCTTGATTCGGACTCATTTGGGCTCGGATTGGGTTGAACTTGGTGTCGTTGGGTTCATATTTCCGAGACGCTCCGTTTGACTGTAAGCTTGCTGAAATCGGAGTTCGGGTGCTTTTGATTTTAATTTTTGAAGTTTCCAACTACTTTTTGCCTCGAAATTGGTGCCCGATCAAGATAAATTTTTGAAAACATATCAATAATTTATTAATTTATCAATTTTTACAAGTGACTACGACGGCTGATGAGTTGCATCTTCTCCTCTTTCCATTGTTTAGGTGGAGATGCATCCTGCTTGGCAGCAAGTGAAGTTGAGGGAATATTGTAAGGAGAAGGGAATTCATGTGACGGCTTACTCACCACTAGGAGGATATAACGGTCCACTGTTTAAAAACCAACTCATGGAATCTGAGGTGCTCAATGGTATAGCCAAGGCTAGAGGAAAAACTTTCGCTCAGGTAATTTTTATATGATATATATATATATATATATAGCCATATCAGCATTTAATTTGATGGATTAATATGGGTGTCAACACTTCCAGCCAATAAAGGCTTTGGAAGTTGTTCTAAAGATCTTGAGTTTGGTCCTCGCCTATGTTATAATAATTTGTCTTGCCGAGTTTGGGGTGGGCAAAAAGAGTCAACTATGAAAACATTGTTGTGCAAATACAATGGAAATAAAAATCACAATCAAAGCATAATCAACACAAACAATATGTGAAATTACATAGCTCGGTGAAGATGCTCATGTCTACGAGGAGGGAATGATGATTTCACTATATTGGAGAAAAATAATTATTACACTTGGCTCTTTCTTCTTCTCTTTTGTGCATACATACAATAGTTTTCAAAACCCGTAATTTCTAGATTTGAGATAAAACAATTAAAACATAATTAATGTAATAATATGGAAAATCAAATCAATGTCATTATCAAATCCAATTAAAGCCCTAATCAAATCTCCTAATTGATGCATTAATTAGCCACTAAATGCTTTCTTAATCCAAGCTCATTTAGATTTTGAAAGATTTTCAAATTAATAATCTCCACCTCATCTTTCACTTCAAAAAATAGAAGATGACAAAACAGACTCCAATATCAAAATGACTGCATCAAGATAGTTGCCTACTTTTCTCCCACCAAAAGGGATCAAACCAAGTGTAGTTCTTCAAAACAAATGGGCAATTAGTCATGAGCCTGAATATTCATCAAACTCTTACAGTAGGTGAACTTCTGAACTGATAGTCCTTTTGCGAGATGTTTGTTGGATTCTCCTTTGTATCTATCTTTTTCAACTTGACATTATCTTTTGCAATCAATTTTCAAACAACATGGAACCTTGCACCAAAGTGCTTGATTGGAAGAGATGATTGTCTCTACAATACCATGCTTGCATCAACTATAACCTTTAGATACCTAGGATACTCTTTACAGCTTGCCAATGACTCCTTGAATTATGTATGAACCTGCTCACAACGTGAACTACTTCTGCAATGTCAAGATCGAGCTGCTCCAAAATTAGACCATATTGTGCTATAAGTGTCAAGTGAATACGGTAAAGGGATGCTTAATCACTGGGGATAATATATCATCATAATCAATCCCTTTCCGTTGCGCAGGGCCTTTTGCCACCAACCTATTCTTATACTATACATCAGCTCCATGAGATCCTTCTTTCTTTGCATACAAACATTCGCACCCAATGACTTTCCTCCTTGAAGGAAGATTTATCAACCTCCAAGTAACATTATTCTGAATAGACTCAAACTCTTCATTCACAACCCTCTTTCAAAGATCACCATTAGAATTGTCCATTGCTTTCTTATAGTGACTAGCAACTTTAGCTTCCGTGGCTAAAAGTGCAATGCAATGTGGTCTCTCAACCAAACTGGTTTTAAGTCATCCTGGCCCCTAGACCTGTTCATTGCAATAGATTCCTGAACCGGAACCTCATCCTCACATTATCTTCTTTCTCTTGATCTGTAGTTGAATCAAGTACCTAAGTAGAAGTGATATGTATCTGCGGAACAAATGGAGTTACTTCAAACTCCAACTTCTGCAATGCATCTGTGGTTCCAGTAGAACTCTCCACCTGCTTAGAGTCACGAGGTTTCAGCATGCTCACCTCATCAAATTTATCATCATGAGAATGACAATCTTCTTTTCTATTAGATCATTGAGTTTGAAGATCTTAATTCCACGCCTGAAGCTAATAAAGATTGTCTTCTTTGCTATTGGTTTCAATTTATCATTCTGAACATAATAATAAGATGAACACCCAAACACTTTCAAGTGCTCATGATATCTAGCAGGATGCTCCGATCATCTCTCCTTTGGGGTCTTCTTCCCAATAGCTGCAGAAGGTACATGGTTCACCAAGTGACGATCATAATCTATAGCCTCAGCCCAATAGACTATATCCAACCTATCATTGGATAACATACATCGAACGTTCTCCAGTAAAGTCCAGTTCATCATCTTTGTCACCCCATTCTACTGCGATGTCTCTCCAAAAGTGAAGTAGTGTTCTATTCCAGATCTTTGGCACTCCTACAAAAATACATCTATGACACTCCTACAAAATACATATGAATTGTATTTTCCCCCATATGTCACAAGGAGTTTAAGAAACACTCACAAACAAGTACGCACATAAGCTAGTAATTTAATATCAAATACATACCACATACACAAACAAGTATAAAATTATAGAAGACAAGGTCTACAAAACGACATCAACTAATACCTACATTGTTCTAGAATTAAGCTCAATAAAAATGATTAACCTGAAGGATACTATTTCACACATACATAATCAAATAAATCAATCCCACAAATACGACATCACACATGTAAACTACAATGATCTGCATAACAATTCTGTCTTAAATCTTACTAGATTTGTCTAAGATGGGTGCTCGAACAAGGTGTCAGCTTGGTTGTGAAGAGCTTCAACAAAGAGAGGTTAAAAGAGAATCTTCAAATTTTTGACTGGGAGCTAAACCAAGAAGAACGCCAAAAAATTGACCAAATTCCTCAACGCAAGAACTTCGGTCTCAAGTCCATTCTCTCCACTGAAGGAAAATTATGCTTCGAGCTTTCAGATTTCGAAATCTACTAAGGTTTCATTTGGGACAGTTTTCTTATTATTTTTTAAAGCAGCTTTTTAATACAGAAGTTTTAACTTTTGTACTAAAAAACTGTTTCAGAAAGCCGTAAGAATGCCATCCCAAATGAAGCCTAAGTTTCCTTAGTTTGTTGTTTTGTTCATCCTTACATAAACTACTATACATGAATAATAATTGCGATAAATTAATGAATAATATTCCCATTTATTTTGTGTTATAAAAATTAGGCAAGATTGACAGTGACTTTACAAATAAAATTTACGTTTTGTTTGGAACGATTTTTTTATTGCTTTCTAAAATAGTTTTTTAACACAATTTTTTTGAATTAGAAAAATTAATACTAAAAAATTACTTTAAAAAATGCTAAAAAAAAATTGTCCCAAATCAAGCCTTAATTATTAATTACCATCATTATCATAATTTTGGTAATATAAAATTTGTTGCATTGAGTGTGCTAAAGAATTTGGTATAAAAGCATCATTAGGATGGAAAATGATGCAAAATTAAAAAATATAAAAGGAGAAAGAGAAAATTTATCATAATAGACATCGAAATTTATATGGTTCTATTTCAATCAAGCTTCCTTTCACTAAATATGGTGTGCAAAATAAGAGCATTCACTAAATGTTCTCAAACCCCGAGCATATGCATGCTCAGCAAAAAAATATCCAATCACAAAGGATGAAAAAGTAAGTATTCAATCCACTAAAAACATAAAATCCACAAATATGGTGTGCAAAATAAGAGCATTCACTAAATGTTCTCAAATCCCGAGTATATCCATGCTCAACAAAAAAAATCCAATGAATCTCTTAAAATAAAATTACCTTACACCAAGTCCAAGATAATTATGATATCGTTCATCAATTTTGGAGAGCAATAGGCTTTCTCTCAAAAGCCACACATCACCAAAGTAAAATACATCATTTTTTTCTTCTTACATGCAAACCAAAATCCTTAACTAAGAACATAATATAATTAAGAAATAATTAAATTCCTAAATTTTGATAATTAATTTAAATTCTAATTATAATTGAATTTATAACAAGCTTATTGATATAATTAAGTGTTATTTTTTTTCATATTTAAATCTTTAACTATCATAAATACTAAAATATGTTGTCAAACAATTTTAAAAATTTAATAGAATTTAATATTTATCACACCAATTAATTTTTAGAATTTAACCACCTCAAGATTTACTAAATGACACTAAAGTCCAATACCAAACAGCCCAAGTTTCTACTTAATGGGCAAGGCGGAAATCGGAGGCGGGTGCCATGGACGCTGCGAACCTTGAAGCGACTGGGAATGAGAGGGGCCTAGAGGAGACAAAGCGACAACCCCAATCGTCCGTCTTATTCCCTCTCTTCCCATCCTCCGACCTCTCTCCATCTCTTCCTGAGACGTCCGAACCCGCGAAATGGCTATGCAACCCCAGCTTCACCTTCGATGTATCCGAAGTACCCACCATCGCTACGGCTGCCGTCCCAATGGCGGTCCCTTTCGAAAACTCGGACGAAGAAGAGGCAGCAGCACCAAGGAAACCGTACTATGAGCCCGTGTCATCGCCGTCTTCGTCGGAATCAGAGCGGCCTTCAGAGCGGAAAGAGAAAGGGAGGCGGAGAAAGAGAAAGAGAGCGATGGGGAGGGAAAAGCTAAGTCATGAATCTTCTAGAAAGTCGGGTGTTCGAGCTTGGATTGGTTCTGAAACAAAGCCTGGCAAGGATTATTACTTTGATGTTCATGGGGATCGGGATAATTTAGCGTTTGGTTGTCTCTACAGGTGCGTTCACGCGCTATTTAAAAGTCCTTAGGATCTAATTATGCTTTGTCTGAAATTTTCCGTGGAAGACCTTGCGTCAAGTTTTCACTGCCATGCGTTAGTCCTTGAGCATAACCGTAATGGTGGTATTGGTATTGGTATTTTTAAGTTGGTGTATTCCAATATTCTCTGTATTTTATCGAATGCATAATGCGACAAATATTGAACTATGGTCACACGATAACTCATCTTTAATAAGTTTAGTACAAAAACTATGATGTATTATGTAACAATGATATAAAAGAGGACTTTGAGTATATACAGGTGACGTTGACTATATTTTTGTAACAAAATAATCCAAACTCTTAATTATCAAGATATTGTCCACTTTGGCTTAAGAGCCTCACGATTTTGTCCTGTTCGTGTAACTTCCCAAGAGGTCACCTATCACATAATTTATTTGGGATGAGCACATTTTATTGTAGAGTTTCTTAATAAAATTTCAACCATTACATCAAAACGCGCATTAATGTTTAAAAGTTTAGCTTCTTTTATTTAAGGGGTTTCACAATCTTCCCTACTTAAGTAACTGACATCCGTTTTATTATCCTTATTCAATAAATATTTACTAGGCAGATAAGATTCTAGAAGTGACCCTTACAAGTTCAAGTGGTGACTCACTCTGCGTAGCACTTTGCCCCATACAGAGTTCAAGAGGTGGCTCCCATGATGTAACACTTTGTCTTATACGACATTTAGTTCCCATCTTCCAGCTAGTGTATTGCTTTGATACTATTTGTTACAGTCCAAATTCTTAGCTATTGAGATATTATCCGTTTTAGCCTAAGGGTCTCACGATTTTGTCATGTTGTTGTAATTTCTCAGGAGGTTATCATCCTAGGATTTCTTCATAATGAGCATGTTTAACTGTAGAGTTTCTTAATAAAATTCCAACAATTACACCAAAAGACGCCTTAATATTTAAGAGTTTAGATTCTTTTACTTATAGGACTTCACATTGTGTCTAAAAATATATATGCAAAAGAGATTTAACATCTAATACACTTACCAAAAATGAATGTGGGAGCATTCATAAAGTCTAATCTTCATATGGTACTCTTCCCCTTTAATTAACCCATTGGTGGAATTGTTGTAAGACTTTATTTAATGGAAGATAATTTACTAGAAAAATCAACCTCTGGCATGTCTAATGTGATATGTAAAATTTATCTTTTTGTTATCGTTTGTTCTTGCTCGCATTGTTTGGCACACATGCTACTTATGCTAAGATCAATTTTGTTCATGTCATTTTTTGTTTGATGTATCATATAGCGAAATGCTTAGGTCTAGAGAGTAGCTTCAGTGTTGAATTTGCTGTCAATTTAGCACCAACTGTTCTTAAGGACCCTTTGGAGTTAAGTTATATCATAAATGCCTAACAGACGACATATGCATAAACTAAATGAGTAGTTTTCTACATTTGTTTTTGTGAGGTCATATCTAACATGTAAGTATTCCTGGAATTGAGCTACTGATAAGCATGCTTATTATTTTGGTCACTCTACTAGCTAACGGAGCTGTACAAAGCATTTTCTTCAAATGGAAGGCCTATTTTAGATCATGGTAATTGCCTAAGATGATTATAACTTTGTGTCTATGTTATGCCCTACCTTTGAAGTAGAAAATGAGGGATTTTTTTGTATATTTATTGAATATCCTCCTATAGTAGGGTACATGCTATTTACCTGTTCATAGATAATAGGTTACTTACCTACCTTTGAATTGGCTTAGAGGGAGCTATTCATTTTTACTGGTTTATTGTTCAATAGTCGTTTTTGATGAGCAGCCTTCAACTCTATGAAGTGCGTGTTAATATGTGAAGATAAATTTCTTACTTTACTTTTTAAACTTTGTCTACCTAATTCCTATAAATTTGTACGGACCATTATCTACCTAACATATATAGTATGACATCAATCACCATCTACCTAATATATTGATATAGAAACAATGGTGTCTCTATCCTTGTCTTTTCATTTAGCAAAAGAAATATTTGATGTACTCTTCTTTTAAAGTTTATTAAAATATTTGATCTCTATGTGACCATGGACATAAGTGAATATCATTGAATCAAATGAACTTATGTGTCTTGTGATTATGATATTTAGCTTGTTCATTCTTTATCTTTATTTTATTTTGTTCAAAATTTTATCACTATCCTTATAGTATGAATACCAAAATTAGATACAAATATGATGCTAATTGTAAAAAGTAAGATACAATACATAATGGACACAATGTTCTCTTTTATAAATTATTAATATTACAAGTATTTTTTGTTAAACATATCATGCATAGAAGTATAATATCATAAATTTCATTACAAATGCTTAATAATAACAAAAGAAAACAAATATTATTAAGTACAACTAAAATTCAAAATTTTATTACATGCATTAATTGCCATTTGTCAATAACTCACCAACATTAGCATTCATTAATTATTATAACATATTTTGCTAATATCAACATTATCTAAATAACACCAAAATTCCAAAAAAAAAAAAAAAGAGCTAACACTAATGTTCTCTTTAGAAAAAATAAAATATGAGGCTATGAGCATGTCGATGATGTATCATTACTTTGAGCTAACACATTTAGTGCTACAATCATCATCGCCACGAGTGACCATGCCCTTCACCTTTATCGCGAAACAAATATAATTTTCAAAAATTGCTCATCTAAAGAGAGATTAGTAACTTCAAACATTCCAATTGAATCTATTATAGGTAATGTGTCTTCACCAATGTTTAATAATTTATTCTCTCCTTGAGTATATTTTGGATTATTCCCAGATAAAAGACAAATATTGTGTGCACAAATACCAAATCTTCACTCAGTTAAGGAGAAATTATGTTCTTTCGGAGTGAATTAATAAATTGATATGAATTCTAATTTCTATCTCTAAAAGATGCGTAGTATGATTGTGCCATCAATTTAGAAGCCAAACATTGCAATTGTGGGGATCTAGCATCATAAATCATTCACCTAGCATTTCTGTCCAAATTGCCTCTAGAAGGTACAAAAATATGGTTGCCAAAAACACCACTAAGTATAAAGAAGTTAGTAAACTCAAAATTTATAAGTGCTCTCTTTAATATTTAGAAAATTACCTTTTTAAACATTGTTCCTCTCAAATGATATCAACATGTCCTTATGTGCACCATTATGATTTGGAGCATCACTTAGTCAAACACGGCTATAATACTAAATAAAAGAAAGCATTTAAGAAGATTAATAATTGAGAGGTGGGTTAAGCTAAGATTAATCAAATGCTACCTTGGATTAAGGAAATGGGCTAAGCAATGAAGAGATGTGTTATTTTTGCTCAAGAATGCAAGCAACATTTTATAAAAGGCAGAACTCCTCATTATCTCCCTTTTTGTCATTCCATCTATTTTTTGGTTTAAGTATTTTTTTAGCATACGCTTGTTAAAAGAGCACAATGAAGCATACTACTAAAGTGATGCAATGCGATGCGAGAGGTGTATGCTTCGCGTCCTTGTCATGTGTGGTGAGTAGTGAAAGCACACACTCCAGTTGGTCCAACATTGAAGTGCTCGTATGAATCTCTCAAGTGTTGTGTGGTTTCAATATGGCTTCCTTCGCCCTACACTAAACAACAACAACAACTCTCTTGACCTCCCCCTCGACTTCCTTAGCACAAGTGAGAGGCTCAAACCTTTGGCTTTCCCAATGTAGTACAACCTTCTTCCTTGGACTGATCAACTTCATAGCATAACGAGAATCTCCTAGTCCTTGACCTTTTGCTTAGACCAATTGTGATTCCCATACCAGCTGACAAAGTGAATATAATTTATTTAACATATTTTGATAATAATTTAATTTATTGAATAACATTTATATTTGCAAAGAATATTCATTAAATATCATTTGTATTTTTTTTGGATTAAAATTATGATTTTCATGAAAGGTTATTTGTGATTTTTATATAGTTTTAGAAAAAAAATAAAACTTATATTTTGAATGGATAAATTTTCTTTAATATTATCTAATTTTTATTATTGTCTTCTCATTTTTTTTTAATTATGTAATTTGTAATTATATGTTCATATTTAGTAAATTTCATAATTGTATCAATTGTTTAGAAAATTAAAAAGTTTATTTTCACCAAGGTTTTAAAAGGCGAAATAGGGAATCGAGGTGTTTTTTCTAAGCGAGGCGTAAGCCTCGAGGCGGATCGATGTGTAAGCCTCAAAACGATTAAAATAAATTAATTTAAAATTATAAATAATGACAAAAAATAATAAAATATTATGTCAACTATGAATTTGAAGATTTTTTTAAGATAATATTACTGGAATACAAAATTTAAAATAAACTCACTTAAAAATAAAACATCCCCTTATGATCAAGACCCAAAGCAGGCTCATCATCACTTTGATTGTCTTCAGAAGAATCTTCATAATTAATGTCAAAGTCATCCTCAAACTCTTCTTCATCTATAATATTTTTTTCCTTTATCTTCTATATCAGTTAATATTTCATTAGCTCTAAAATGATATAATAGTAACATATAAAATAATTCATTATATTTAAGAATACCTTTGATTTTTGAAGCTCCATTTTCACTTTATTTCTTTCTTTTATATACTTGGGTAGTTGATTCATTGTCTTTTTCATTGACATGAGTTTCTCCTTCTGCTTCAACTTCAGAAACATCAGCATTCTTAGGAGTATCCCATTCATCATCAGATTGTAACTCATCAACAAGCAAATGGTCAATTTAATATCTCACATTTCTTTGTAGGCACTTTCTTGACCTCTTAATTCTTTTGCAATGTCTTCTTTAGCCCTATTCATTGCTTCATAAATAAATCCCATAGCCGGGGCCCTCTCACCATCAGTCATTCTAAGCACCTTTACTAATGGCCCTGTTGTCTTCCAAGCATAATTTGTACTGCACCAAAATGAATCGTAAACAATCTTTTTAACTTGTT